ACAAGTATTTGCCGGTGTTTCCAGAGTCAATGAACAATAATGACATCAGTATTGATCAGCATGACCTGTTCATAATTTGCCCCAATAATCGAGCAGCCCTACCCTAGGGTTCACCCCACTGTTACACATACTGAGCTTGGAGTTTTCTTGGCCTGCTGTAAAGTACTTCCATGCTAATGACATGTTAGCTTCAACTTGCAACATGCACTGGCCATGGTTATTTCGTGGGTTGTTCTAGGTCACAGTCACGCTCATACACTTATCTACACAGCAGCCAGTCTTTCATCCTCATCCCCCTTCTCTCTCTTTCTCTCTCTCTTTCTCTCTCTCTCATTCATGCTCGCTCATCCTGCTCAAAGCCAGTTAGCTATGCTTTCTCCCTTTCTCTCTGTAGAGGGATTACAGTGTCCTGTGTGATTATTTCTCTATTAATAGCTTCCTTTAAGAGTGTACCCATGATCCTATAGCGGCGTTGCTGCAGGATGGCCCCGAGCTCTAGAAACAGCAGCCTGCCCTGAATCCTTCAGGCAGTAATTACTGTAATGAACCTCAGCCTGACTCACTATACGACAGAACTGAGGGAAAGATGAGTGAGGGTTAGACACATGCATGTACACACTGGTATGCAAACTATATCTATGAACCTCGCCCATATGTCATGGTGTCGTGAAACCTCATTGTTTACACAAGATTTGTTTCTCAATCATCATAGTATATTTTCATTAATTTTCTTGATTTTTGAAGAAGAAAAAATGTGAAACAAATTCTTATATATAATTCAATAATTAGAAGTCACAATAGCATTGAAATAATATTTTCATTAATCATCAACCAACCAAAAGCCTGGCCTGGCTGTGGATTAACGTAAATTAAATGTAAATTAACCATGGTCGCTACTTTTTTGCAACTTTTAACTCAACCTCATCTATTTTAAAGTAAGTAGATAAGTAAATGTGTAGTATAGCAGATTTTATTCTGAGTTTAAAAGAAAAGAAATACTACTTGGTAGCGGCTCAACCTCATTTTTATAACCTGACTGTAGAGAGGGTTTATTTCACTGTTAGACACAGTCTTATCAAGAAGGCACTGGATTTTGACTACGTGTGCAGAAGAATTCAGATTGACAAAACGGCACTTTGAAGAGTAATCTGAATACAACACTCGCACTTGTACACAGTCACCGCAGCAATGGTAGTGTGTCTGTTACACCGTCGTCTCTGCACTGCTTCAGGAGCAGGAAGATCAGGTCTGCGTTGTTGGTGATTACAGATCATCAAACACCGCTGCTGTGAAACCAGACTAAAGAAACATGCTGCCTTACATTGTTGAGCTCAGGTGACAGCTCAGCAGTAGCTGTGACATATCAGTCCTTTGAACTCATCACGTCTGATCAGAGACGGTTTACACAGTGGATGAAGCCGTGAGAATAAAAGCAGATTTCCTATCAAAAGTTGAGTCAGTCATCATTAAGCTGCTGAAATTAGTTGTATAGACAGTGATGACACCAATGCTATAGCCATTGGTTCTTTTTTTTTTTTTTCTAAATTGAATAAAAAATGATTTTTCTTTTTAAACACTGTCTCTGTTGTATCAGGAGGACTATTTTTGATGAAGTCCGTTTTTGGTACAGTTTTGTGGAAAATCAATGTCTGGAAGATTTTTGTTTGTTTGTTTGTTTCTAAATTTTTCATGGAGTTGCAGTTACTAAATAGTTGCACCCTTATTTGTGCTTGCAATGAATTAATGTTCATTCAAACTACCCACTGCATCTTACTGTGTTTACACTAAACACTGAATCGTTAATGCTGTTGTAGCAATTTGCAGTCAAACGTGCTTATTATTGGTGTCTTAGCCATGATAATTTTCTACACGTATTAACCGTAGCTTACAATTACTCACTACGCATTTGCCATTGTCAGTCAATTCCGTGCAGTAACGTTTTTCCACGTGTGTTTCCTGCAGACGTGCCGGCGCTGGAGCAGCCGGAGCTGTTCCTGAAGAAGCTGCAGCAGTGCTGTACCGTCTTTGACTTCATGGACACACTGTCAGACCTCAAGATGAAGGAGTACAAGCGCTCCACGCTCAACGAGCTGGTGGACTACGTGACAGTCAGCCGGGGCTACCTGACAGAGCAGGCCTACCCCGAGGTCGTCAAAATGGTGAGCAAGACGAACCCATACTTATTATACACAGTTCCATAGACGTGCTGCAAAGTCAAGAACAAGTCCTGTAAATGTGTACTAGAGTTGGCTCGCCAGTATATAGCCCCTATATTAGCACCTAGATTTGTAGTATTAGCGTTGTATACGCTATGTTATAGCACATACTGATGTGTGTTTTATTTCAAATTTAATTTCTCATGTGTTTATAGTATTAAGCTTTGGTTGATCCAGATTCAATTTACATAACATATCTGGAGACAAGGGAAAACATGCACAATTGCCATCAATTTTTCAATAAATATCGTCTTTGTCCCAGTTTTTAATTTTGGGCTACTGTAAATTTGAGTTTGATACCCCTGGTGTAGAGCAACCTTTCTCGGATTGCGCACTTACTACTTCTGAAATCTCTAGGAAAACTTAAACTTAGATTACACCTACAGACTGGTAGTTGAACACATATTATTTGTTGTTCCTAGAGAGTTGCCCTCATGTAGGCAATGCTGCACACTCATGTGGATGTAGCGTACAAGCCTCCTGATGTTCTGAAGTTTGATAAATGTATTTGGTGTCATAATTAGTGCACACAAACTTACATTCGCTGGATTATGTCCCACCATGCAGGTTTCTCACAACATATTCCGAACCCTTCCGCCCAGTGACAGTAATGAGTTTGACCCTGAGGAGGACGAGCCCACACTTGAGGCCTCCTGGCCACACCTACAGGTGCACACACCCACACAAACAGACTCACCCTGCTTGTCTTGTCATGTTTGTTCACATCAGTGTTAAAGGTGAGAATGTTGGTCCTCTCTTCTCCAGTTGGTATACGAGTTCTTCATCCGGTTCTTGGAGAGTCAGGAATTCCAGCCCAGCATTGCCAAAAAATACATAGACCAGAAGTTTGTCCTACAGGTGAGTCACAGGAGTGATGTCTTGTTTGTGTAAGTTCAATGTAACACTGACCACAGGTATGCACACCCTTCCATTCTTATCCCTGTTTAAGTTTTTTTCAGGATTTTAATTTTCTGTCCCAATAAATATGTAGAGAACTGGTAATATTATCTATGTGGCACAGGTCTGTGGGTGACACGGTGTTGGCAGTGTGTGTGTATTCATGTGTGTGCACACCTGCTTGTGATCTCACCCCAAACTATAGTGATGAGATCAAACAGAAAAATAGTTAAAGTCCTGCAAAGTCTTTTCAAAGTCTTCAAATTGACACTTTTACCTCATTAGACAGTACACCAATAATAGTATGTATAAAAGAGTTTTAATATAGAAGTTAAAAATGTAAAATTGTTGCATTGTTAACTTGGCCAGCTGTGAGCAGAGCTTTTACACCAGTAACACATTTTAATTCAAAACGTCATCTCCTGCTTTCCAGTAAATTTAGTCAATTACACCGAGTTAAACTAGTTCTATGTCCAATCAAAAGAAATAACTCAAATAAACAAGTCTCACCAAAGGAGTGAAATGGTTCTAATCCACTGTGACATTAAACTCAGAAGAGACATTAGCATCTTCAGAGCTGTGACTTGTTCACAGGTGCTTTTGTAAATGTATGTGTCATAACAGAAAAACCTTCCAGTCAGTGACTTTGCCCCTGATGTTGAAATATCTCCAAACTGCTGACAGTGATGTTCTCTTTAAATAAACCACCCATGAGACGCTGAATTGAAGGAGGTTAACACCCAACACTGGCTGACCTGTGAGCTGCTGGTTGTGCTGAAAAGCACCAATCCAAGAATGTGTATTTAAAGAAGTATTGGTCCCAAAACTGGTGTTGTACATTGGTGCATCCTTAACTTCCTGAACATCTGACACCACACAGAAAGGCACATTAACGATCTCACGTCTTCTCCCTGCTGCTTTGGTTGATCATTGATCACTGGTATTTCTCGTGAGCTCCTCAGCTGCTGAGCCTCACCTCCTTCTGTCTGTTCCTTTCTCCTGCAGCTCCTGGAGTTGTTTGACAGTGAGGATCCGCGGGAGAGAGACTACCTGAAGACAGTCTTGCATAGAATCTACGGCAAATTCCTGGGGCTGAGAGCTTTTATACGAAAACAGATCAATAATATTTTTCTACGGTGAGTCTGAAAACGGATAAAGTATAAAATATTTCAAAACAAAAAACAGTCCCAACCCGTAGCCGGACAGTTAGACAATAGCTTTTATTATTTCATGAAATTCTGCTGAAATTAGTAAAAAATTGACCTGAGAGATGGGTCACAGAGGCAAACATACCCTGTAGAAAACATTTTTTGTGTATTCAGATTATATTTTGGTTCTGCTGTAATTTGTTTGGGGTCTTTTTTTTACTTAAAAGGACATTTATTTTTTTCTAGGTTAAAAACGTGTAAGAATGAGAAAACGACTCCCCCACTTCTCCTTTTCTCCTCCACTTTTACTGAAGGCAGCCTCTTCCCCCAGCTCTCCTCATTAGTCTGAGTGTTCTAACCTTTTTCCTACTCTCCTGTCTTTTGTCTCTCCTCGTCTCCTCATCTCTCTCTGTCCTCGCAGTTTTGTTTATGAGACGGAGCACTTCAATGGGGTGGCGGAGTTGCTGGAGATCCTGGGGAGGTATGTGGAGCACACACACACTCCTACACACACACACACACACACACATTGGATTTTGTTTTGTTTTTCTATCTTTTTTTTATTATTCTTGAATTTTTTATACACAGAACATTGTACTGCTTGTGAGAGGAGTAGTATTCCAGTTCAGATATTTCTAGTACCAGAAAGAGTGGGACTGACAGACAAGTCTTTCCTCTCCAGTTGTAATCATGTAGTCTTCCCTTCTTCAGTTTGTGTTGACACTTCTGTCTCCTGACTGTAACGCAAACATGACTGTGAGCCTGAACAAACCCCGATGCAGGCGTTCACTCGTGTTTCCTGCGTCTGCAGCTTTGAAGGTGAAAGCCATTATCTGAGGCTTCACTGATCAGTCACATCTGCAGATGTTTCATGCGCTGCTGCTGATTATTCCAACAACGCTCTTTCATGTGCTAATGTTCATTCTCTCCATGTTCACCTCTTTTTTCTCTCCCCCTTTTCCCCTCATTTATTCCTCTCTCCGTCCTTCAGTATAATTAATGGTTTCGCTCTGCCACTGAAAGCGGAGCATAAACAGTTCCTGGTCAAAGTGTTGATTCCACTCCACACTGTCAGGAGTCTGTCCCTCTTCCATGCACAGGTAACGTCTACAGACACCTCACTGTTTTCACTGCATCACTATTTGTTTTTTTACTGTCAGCATTTGACAACTGACTCCCATGTTTTCTTTTTTCCTTAGTTGGCATATTGCATTGTACAGTTCCTAGAGAAAGACCCAACATTAACAGAAGCAGTGAGTATCGTATAACATTCAAGTCATACTGAGATACTTCACTAACTGAAGTGAAACTCTGGAAAACATGAACTCTGGGTTTTTCATTCTCAGGTCATCAGAGGATTACTGAAGTTCTGGCCAAAAACCTGCAGTCAAAAGGAGGTGAGATTTTCACATTCCTCCCCGAGGAAAGGTCAAAGGTCTCGTGCACTACTGAAATCATGTCCATTCTGTTTCATTGAGCAGCAGTGTGACTTAATGATCATTAGCTTTACAGGATCCACAGAAACAGAACCCACAGATCACATACTTTAGATTTTCCAAGGTTCATCAGTGATGAAACGCACTGAGGTTCTTGACTTCACTTCACTCTGTGTGTTGAAGTGACCTTCACGTGTTCATGTTCCTCAGGATCGTGTCTGACAGTGTAAAAATAATCATTGTGTTCCAGGTGATGTTTCTTGGAGAGCTGGAAGAAATCCTGGACGTGATTGAACCCACACAGTTTGTCAAGATCCAGGAGCCACTCTTCAAACAGATCTCCAGATGTGTCTCCAGCCCACATTTCCAGGTTTGTGACGGACTGGTTCTAACTTGAATAAAGGTTATACCCAGAGCTGTAGTGTTGAATTCAGTGGAATAAATGTAGTATGAAGTTTCCCAGTGCGTTGACCCGACAACTGTCTGTGTGGACACCACAGGTGGCAGAGCGAGCTCTGTATTACTGGAACAACGAGTACATCATGAGTCTGATCGAGGAGAACTCCAGTGTCATCCTGCCCATCATGTTTGCCAGCCTCTACAGGATCTCCAAAGAGCACTGGAACCCGTGAGTGCCCTTCAAAGATCACACAGATCTCAGTGTTTTGAATTGTCTGTAGTTAATTTACATACAGAGAATAGTTCATTTATTGTAGTGCTGACTCTGAGTCCAGAGTTCTCTGTTAGAACACTGTAAAGGATTCTACTATGGAACCTTTCCTTCCATCACTGTGCATGTCATGTCACGTGACCAGCTGTGACCTCTGACGTCGATGTGCTCTCCTTCCTTACAGGGCCATTGTAGCGCTGGTCTACAACGTCCTGAAGGCCTTCATGGAGATGAACAGTACTTTATTTGATGAGCTCACGTCCACTTACAAGTCAGACCGCCAGCGGTAAGAAGACGATCATCATGGTTCTGTGAAGTACTGACACAAACTCCGACCTGTCACAGACCTGCCTTCATTAAAAGACCTCTCCAAATCTGTGTCAGTCCAAACACATCTGTCACTGCCTCGTGGTCAGTAATAGCAGACCTAGGTTTCAGAGCTGTATCACGACGATTACCGTGTGATTTGGCAGGAAAATTGTTTCTGTTGCAGTCGCTGTTGTCAGATTCACTCTGGATGGCGCTGCTTTAACTAGTATGGGTCGACAGGGCAGAGGGGCAATTAGTACTTAAGTGCAGCACTGAGTGACAATGTAGATGTTAACGTCTGAGACTTGGATCAACAAGTTTCTGACTCATTGAAGTTTGAGTTTTACATCAGTATCTCATACAACCACACCAGAAAAAACCTGAAGCTTCTGGTAATCAATGACAAAGGTTTCTTTGTTTGTTTGTTTGTTTTATTAAAATCCAACTTTGTTTTGTCTCAGTGAGAAGAAAAAGGAGAAGGAGCGGGAGGAGCTGTGGAGGAAGCTGGAGGACTTGGAGCTGAAGCGGGGCCTTAGGAGCGACGGAATCATCCCCACTTAACAAACAGGCGTCAAACTGCCCCCAAACCTCGCCCCCGTCCCTCCCGTCACCTCTCTCAGTCCTCTCCTGTTCCTCATGCTCTGACTCCTCCCCCTGCTCCTGAGTCCTTCCTCTCTTCTTCCTCCTCCTCCTCATCAGCCATGTCTGGCCCACAGCTCTGAAAACCTCGCCCCGACTAAAGGCCGTGGTGTGGACGTACACGGAGCTGCCGCTGGTTTCTTCACCTCTGTTTGTTTTTCTTATGTTGTTTTTTTTCTTCTTCTTCTATGTTTAAATGACTTTACCGTAGATTCATCACCTGTTTTCATTATTTCAACAGCACTGTAAATAATTATTTTTTTCTTTTTGTTCCCCTTAAACTGATATTATTGCAAACAGGAAAGAAACAAAACTATAATAATAATAAAAAAAGGAGGAAAAAAAGTAGAAAGTGAGGAAATGACTTCTGTGGGTGGGGCTCTAAACAAAAGTTTGGACTGTTGCCAACATAAAAAAACAACTTCTACAAAAGTGAGAGTGACAAAAATATTTTTTAAAAAGCTCATCCTTCTTAACCAATGTCGACCTCTTAACCTTTTCAGTTTTTCTCTTTGATTTCCCTTCTTCTCCCTGACTGATGATGCTGCCTCTGTCACTTGCACCCTGCGTGTGTTTGTGTGTGTTTGTGTATACATGTCTTTTTTTAAGACTAAAGACAAGTTTTGGGTCAAACCTGCCTCTGAGTTCGTTGTAGTAGCACCTCAACAACAGGGCTGTCACTTTTTTTTAAATCCGAATCAAATTGGAGGATTAAACCCTTGTTTTCAGACTGTATGCAATAGCTACATCCAGCAGGGGGCGTCTAAGTGCAGCGTAAACTCAGATCCCCGTCAAAAGTAGCTGGTAACTTTGCTGTTAGTAAGTAAGTGACCCTTTCCCCTTAGGTGGACAAATATGACACTAACTATGACACTCTTCACTGTGTTTTTTGTTTTGTTTTTTGGCTGATAATTAATGCCTCAGTGACTGTGCAGGAGAATGTGGCTGCCCCTGGTCGTCAGGTAAAAGCACTGAAAATTGTATTGAAAAAGTGACAGCCCTACCTTACAACTACAGGAAGCTTTGAGCTCCAAGGTTTTAAGGTGAGATTTTGGTTGAGTTCATTGTGAGCTGAGGTTAAAGGTGGGTGTCATGGAGAGTGAATTATACTTGAGTGTCCTCACTGATAATCTTTCTCTACCTCCATGTTCTACTCTCTGGCTCCTCCTCCTACTGCTCCTGATTAAGAGAAACAATCAGAAACACTTCAGCACACACCAAGGTTCTCAAATCCTCTGGGTGTGTGTGTACGTGGTCTTCTCACTCCCGTTAGGCACTGCTGGAAAAATATTTGAATTTGATCTGTTGGAATTTTGTTATCCTGAAATGACAAAGACACATCTGACTTACATGGCCTGCAGTATTTCTGTGAAATTAAAGACAATATGATGATAAACTCTGTGGATCTCTGCAAACATTGTATCACAAACACACTGAAGAACCTGCTTTGAAAAGTCAACAGTGCTCCAAGTTATAGGAGAGTAGTTTGAGTGGAGTCCAAGTCCAGTCCTGAGGATGTGGAGTTATCCTCAGGATCGAGTCACGAGTCCTGGACTCCATGGTTACAACACTGAGATGAGATTTAAACCAGACAAAAAAAAAAGAAAATGTGTAAAAGAAGGAACAGATTCAAAGTCACTGTTCAGACCAGAACCTGTCTTTGCATCAATTCTGTGTAAAAAAAAAAAAAAAAATCTTATTTTTATATGAAAAACATTTTCACAGATTTTCTCCTAATTCCACCTGATAATGATCCATCTCGGAAATGTCAGAGTAGTTGAAGGTTTTTGTCTTTAGTGTAATTATTTCTTTTAACTTTGTACATTAGCATCACCTACTCTTTTGTGGTTTGGGGTTTTCCTACTGTGTTCTGTTTGGTTGGTGCTCATGATGAAATGATTTGGATCACAGTGAAGAATGAACATATAAACAAAGTCTTTTTATTCACTTCATTATTTTGTTCTACCCTCAGTTTTTTCCTCTGTAAAGTTTCCTTCCTTTGTCATCTCTCCACCAATCCTAGTCTTCTGGTATCAGTCTGGTACTGATTCAGCCCTTCCTGTCTTCCTCCCCTTTTCTTCTCATCGTTCTCCTTCTCTTCCTCCTCTGCCCCTGATGATTATCAGATTCAACAAAAATCAAATGAGGAGCGCCAAAAAGAAAGGAAAGGAAAAAAAACTCCTCCTTTTATGTAAAAGGTGTGTGCCTCCTCCTTACCAGCAGGAGGAGACAGTTGACTTTACAGTATTACAACAGTAAAAGAAAAAAAATGTTTGTAAAATGTTAGAGGATGAAATGCAGTTCACTGATATTAATCTTGAATTTTGTAGTCAAATTTAGCTTTTTGGTTCTTTCTTTTTTTTGCTTAGGAAACTGGTGAGGTATTTATGATAGCGCCCCCCTCTGGTAGTATGTTTGTTCTTTTCTGCATCTCGCTCCTCCCGGATCTGTTTTTATCTTGTTTTGGAGGGTTTTTTTATTTCTTTTTACCATATGGATTTTTTTTCAAATGGGGAGGCAAAGGGAGCTTTAGGGGTGAGGAAAGTAGGCAGCGGGGTCAGAGGTCAGAACTGAATAGAAGATGTTTTTCTTTGCCTGATGGAAGGCTTGACAGGAAAACCTCATCCTCTCTGACAGAATTGAATTAAACTTGTGATTTTGAACGGCTGCAAAGAAATGATCCAAAATCTGAAGAAAAAAAGGGTTGGTAAAAAAAGACAAAACAAAAAACAAATGTTTAATTATTTAAAAAAAATAAAGAGATATTAAATTAAACCTGTTTTGTGATAAAGTCTGGATGCTGAAGTTCTTTATTGACTGGATTCAGAGGATGTGTGTGAGAGAGAAAGAGACAGTGTGAATACACTTTATTTCCTGAAATTCAGGTGAAACTCAATGAATAAAGTCAATCCATCGTTCAAAAACATCACCATTGTCAGAATTTCTGATAATTAGCACTAAATCAATTAAATCAATTTATTTATATACCATATATTTTCTTATCTACAAGTGGATTCTCCGGTTCAGTTTCGTTACTTACACTACCGGAATCTGCCTCTAGAGGGCAGTAGAGACCTGTAGTTCAGAAGTGACCCAGCTCTGTCCGTTTCTTCTCTGGTTTATAGAGACCTACATCGCCACTTTAGAAAATATCTGTCCCTCCCAGTACCACTGGTGTGACCCACATTAAAATACAACAACAAAGTCCCACATCGTTCAGGTAAAACCAGTAAACTGCATGAAGAAATTATTTTAATTTGAGTTATTTAAGATTTTTCCAATTCAACTTCAATTCAAACAAGTGGGAATATATAACAGCTGCCTGACCGGTTTAATTGTTCATTATTCTAATTATAATTGAAATTAGTAGAAGTAGTCTGGTTATTCAGGTTATAACTGTAATTAGAAACATTATTATGATAATTACCTTAATAGTATTATTATATAATCCCAACGTATTTTCTAAAAAAGTTAATTGTCGTGTTATGGAATTATAAGATTCCTTAAGATTATTATTTTTCAAAACATATTTAACGCATGGACAGAATGACAGAATGTTCTGTAGATCCAATAATTCCAGCGTTCATATCGTTGTTCCAATACACAGTCTAATACACACATTATATTTTGCACACACTGTAGAACATTACAACACCGTCTCATCCGGCGAAGGCTTTAACTTCCGGTCGGACCAGCTTCACGGGGTTCAGGACATTTCATGAGTCCACGACGGACAAGCTGACTGACAAAGTTGTGAAGGGGATTGTGAGGTACCGTGAACTGATTAATACGAGGACAGAGTCGCTAATATAGTGCTGTAAGTAACTCTCCACACGTACTACAAGCCCCCACTAAGGTGAACCGTCGAGACTCCATGAAGCTAAAGTTTAAGTTATAAAATATATTTATCTTGGGATTTTTTTCATATTCGTCAATCCAATATATTGAGTAGTCACACATAGAAACGGGTTTGAACCACATACATCTACCTGTTATTATGTGTCTTTCTGTTCCAGCAAGATACAACAAAGGGTTTCTGACATATTTGGGATTGTGAATAATTGTAAATAAAGTGTGTGTGTGAGAGAGAGACCAGGATTTGTCCAGACTATCTAATTTCTTCTGTCCCAATAAAAGACTTCCTAGTCTTAATCTTAATCTTATCTCGCTGCAGTCACTTTGATCTTTATTCCGTAATACCTTATCTTAAAATTTTAATTTTAACTTGTTAACCTCGTTTTATTCTCCTTTAACCTGTTCCATCTCACATCTACAGTGTCTTATGAGTGAGTGCACTTCTTTATCTCATTGTTATCTGTCTTTTCTAACAAGAAAAAAAGTTTGTAAAACCACTCAGGTCATTCATACAAAAGTCCTTTGAGAAAATCACTGATTTAGCTGATCTGTCCACAGGAGCTGCAGTTTCTCTGCTGTCTTCATTACTAAGTTTGAAAGCGTCATTTAATGACTTCACTCTTTGGAATCCTCGCCTTAGATTTATCCACTTTACACAAACTGACCACAGGGGGCAGAAGAGAAGCAGAAGCTTCTGTGTCACTGTGAGCTAAAATCCTGTTTTTTTCAATGGACTTCTTTGAGTAAAGCTGTGGTTTACAAACTTCAGATTCATGAAGAGAAGTCTGTGTAAAGAGGAAAAAACAAGTGGCAAATTACCGGGCGCTAAATGTTTTCTTTGATTTCTGTCCCAAAAAATTAGTTCACATCCAAAATCCAACTGAGTTAATTTGTCCTGACTTTGAGTCCAGATGAATTTTTTTTCCTGCTGTTTTAAATCGAGGCAAATTACATTTCATTTGACCCGATTCTCTTTTCAACTTAATTAGAACCACTCTGTTTTCTGAGTCGATGCAGCCGCCTGTGATTTATGTGAATTACGCTGATGGAGCAGGATTTTTTTTTTTTAGTTTGGACTTTTTCCAACTGGGCCACTCCTTCAGCTTAGAGCCATTCATTTGATGAAACTGTGTCAGACTGAAGTTTTGATGCACACTTTCTTAAAGGTAAATCAAAAATAATCTACAACCAAAGGACAAAAGACCAGACAACATTTTAACTATTATTACCTATTGTTATTTTTATCTAACATTTAGATAAATATTAGATTCTTGGCACTTTGCCTCTTTTTCCTATGAGCTGTCCAACCTTAGCCTAAGAATGCTAACTTGTAGTCATCCTTCGAACATTGATAGCATTTGATTCTCGTTGTTAGCGACAACTGCATAATGTTTGGCTATGGTTTTGTTTTTTTTTAATTTTGTTGTTTTTTTTATTTGCTTTTTACATGCTACCTTGTAACTTCAATGTAGCGTAGCCTTGATATGGCTAACTTGTGAGCATAAATTCTTTATCGGTGTCTGACTCACCTATTCTAAGTCATCTTTGACTTATTGTTAATTATATTTAACACATTTGTGCGATTATTGTTGTGTTTTTGTTCACCGTTAACCTTTTCAATTTTATCAATGCATTTTTTAGTAGTGTATTTGTGTCTTGTATGTTTATTATTGTCTTCTGGTCCTGAAGCTAAGACTTTACTCCTCCAGTGTTCAGCGTCATTTAAATACTTCACCAGTTCTACAGCCCTTCCAGATGTTTTCCTTTGCTAAAGAAATGGAACGTAGTTTTATGACTCACCTTCTGTCTTATAGCAGGAGAGCTGTACAGTTGATATAGAAACTGTAGCCGGGAATAACCCTTTGTAGGTCTCTCTCTCTCTCTCTCTCTCTCTCTCTATTTCTGACTCACCCTGCTGTGTCCTGAGCAAAACTTTGTCTCACTGATACTGTGTGTACTTTCCACCAAGAAACAAAGTCTAAAAATAGTTTTCTGTATTTCTTTTCTCTTCATAAATGTATCATTTCATCACTGTGTTTCTTTAACTTTACTATCTTTACTACAAAGTTTTATTAATGACACAGATAAGTTTGATTCCTGACTCTGGAATCTGACGCAGAGGAACGGAACAATTTTGTTTAAATATGACAGATTTCCAGCTGCAGTGACATAGTTTTACCACAAGAAGAAAAACAACAGGAGAGTGAAGCGTTTATACTTCTCAATTTGTATTTTATTCTTCCTCCAGGCAGTTTGTACTTTACCTGATGTAAAACACAAGTGTCAGAAAAATGAGACGAGTTGCAGGAAAATCAAATTAGAGGAAGAAGAAAATCAGCCTGGATGCCTGGGGAAAATAGATTTGATTTAGAAATATTTTCATATTTCTGCAACATTTGTTCTGCATTTCTGGCTCTGAAGGTGAAGTAAATTTGGAAGAGCTTTTCCTCCGAGGTTCAGGGATCAGTCTGATCAGGGGAACGCCAGCTTTTATTGTTGACTGTTGGGAAATAATTTCTTCTGTTTACTCAAATTAGTGGAAACATAATCGGACAAACGTAAGTTAGCTTAAAAAATTAGCATAAATCCTGACAAAATTATGATAAAGCTTAAAGTTGATCAAAATATAACAAAAAAGTTTAAAGTAATAAGGATGGTAACATCCCACACAAAATGTATAAAAAAGCAAAAAACAAAGAAAGAATAGGTGAAAAACCAACAAAGAATATAGCTAGGCATCAAAGGTCATAGGGACAGCGTTCAATTCCTGGCTCTTCCTTGAGGGTGGTCTGACTGCTGCCCCTGAGCAGACGGTAACAAAGCCCAGCAGAAACACACACCAGGTCCATGTCCTCTCTGTGTGTCGAGGTCTTGAACCACCAAAACCACGATTTGTCAGACTCTTGGTCACGAGCAGCTGTTCCACATGAACAATGCTGCCTCCTGC